CTAACTCACTTTCTGAATGAATGGCAACAATCTGCTCTTCTTCTAACCCTCTGATAATGCAAAGATCGTCCAATTACCTCATTACAAATCCAACTTTATGCATATGTGTCACACAAAGGAGGAAGAGGAGGAAGAGGAGGATCATGAATGACCTTGGAGAAAGTCATCCATCCCTCTGACAGACAGTCTTCAGCGTCAGGATCTCCTCTCAGTTATATTCAACCTTCTAAACATTCAAATATAATCCATTTATACGTAAATATGAAATCAGACACTTTCATAATGGTTTGCTTTATTGAGACAGGATGCCACAGGGAGCAAGCTGCTGAAGCTGCTCCAGAGTCAACAAGCAAAGAGCAAGGTGATTCATGTGTGAAAACAAGACGGAAACCAAATCAACATTTACACATTTGACTTCCACAGATGTACATGTCCATGATTGATAAGTGCATGCATAATTAAATACACACATGGTGTAGGACAGGGGTCCCCAACCTTTTTTCCCAGAGCCCCCCCAAATGACTCCTATTGGAAGTTGCTCCCCCCCCCCACACACACACACACACAGACAGATAGACACACACACACACACACACCCACACACACACACACAAGGGGGGGGGGGGCAACAGCGGTAATTAAGCTTTCAAAGTCTCAAAAGCTACAACTACTGTCACAAACTGGATGAATGTGAAGTATGTTGTTAAAGGAGGACGAAAGCGTAATCAAGGAGCACTATTGGAGCGACTTTGATGGTTATGGATTAATTCATTTGGATTCCCGCTGAATGAAGAAATTAAAGGACGGCGGAAGTGGAAACAATTCACAAAGAGATTAAACGGTTTAAAACACATGCTCAAAGTAAGCCGGATTTTGCCGATGTGTTTCTGTGGATTCAAAAGTCGTAAATAATCGGAGCGACTGTGACAAATAATCCAACTGAAGCCGGCATGGACAATGACTGTTTTTAAAAATGCGTTTATACAGACAAGCCTGGTTTGGACACTTAACGGCAGAAGAAACATTTCTATAGAAATAATTATACATTTCTGTCTTTTTATGCCTTTAATACTAACTTGAATTTTTATTAAAATTAATTAATCAATTATTTTGTATACTTTATTGTAATGTAGAGACAAGGCTTTTAGTGACAATCATGTATTGCGTTACAATTATATGTAAAAAAAATAGTCTAAATATGATATTTGGCCTCAAATCATCTGAGGGCGGGCGCCCCCCCTGTGATCTTTGGCGCCCCCCCTGTGATCTTTGGCGCCCCCCCTGTGATCTTTGGCGCCCCCCCTGTGATCTTTGGCGCCCCCCAGGTTGGGAACCACTGGTGTCGGAGAATGTGCTATTAAATGCACAGGAAAGTGTGTCATAATGTGAGTGTTGGACCAGTCAATAGTATGTTGGGTTAAGTGATGTGTGTATAATGAATCTTCTTAAACCATATGATATATCGTGTTTTATTTGATAAATGTAGTCAGTTGTGTTGCAATGGCTATCAGAAAGAAATCCTGATTATTAATCTATAGTTTAATCTTCATTTGTTAACATTTCATAAAGATTATCTTGAATTCAACAATGTTTATATTCCTTTAATGTAGTTAGAGTTATTCCTGTTCAATGTAATGAGTTTTTATCGATGACTGAGTTATAGTATTTCAATAAATCACGTTGTATGATCATTGAGTGACAGCCGCAGAGCCAGCTGTCCGGCTGGCGTCACTCAACAAGCACCATATGGACCGCAAAGCATGCTGGTACATGTATAATTTAAAATGTTGTAATCCAAATTAACTGAATGAAAATTTGAACACATTAATATTTCAACACGTATTCTGTGTGTCTCGTGGCTTGGAGACTCTGTGTTACTCAGGTCAGTTTAAATAAAGTTATATTAAGAAGCTGAACGAGAGTGAGACTCACGAAAGAAACTACAAATCCCATCCACGCTCGTGTGAAAACATTCACCCCGAATTATGATGCATTCAGGGGCCTTTTAATAGTTACGGATTTACAGTGCTAAACGTGGAAAGAGTATGGTTAGTCTGCAAATGTGATATTATTGATGATAACTATTATAATAATGGTTAAAAAATCGTCAAAGTTGATTTATTCTATAGCTTTCATGTTTTCTTGTTTTTCATAGATGTTGAAAATGTTTATGTAATCATGGAATAAATGTAAAATATGTTGTACTCATAAATGTAGGCTTTCTGTTTTCCCCTACACATATGGATATGATGCTTTCTCGTTTTAATAACTATATCATTGAAATATGTGATTATTCATAATAAAATACGACCATTTGGCTAAATATTGGATTCAAATACGCATCCAAACATGTCTAAAATGACACAAAAACAACTAAATATATATGCAATAATGACAAATGTCTCCTATGTGCAAGCTTAACTTATACACACTGTTTAAAGTGAGTACAAATATGCACATTCAGCACATTTTTCCATGATTTGTAATATTTCCTACAGCCCCTGAACGCACCACCATAGTTGCAGTCATTCAGAGCTTCTCTCCTGCAGAACAACAGCTACCTCCTGTCCTCAGTGAGTAACCCTTTCTCTCAATTATCACCCAAAAATACCTGTCACCTCTTTACCTGAGTGACGTCATTCCTGTCGCTTTATTAAGGGTAAAAGATCGGGGTTTAATCCGGCTCTTGTTTTTATTCCCAAAGTCCTGCACGAGGGGTTTGTGCACAGCGTGCTCCTTTTGTTCTCAGCTGTGTGTTTGACAAAGGAAAGCTGCTGTTATTTAGCACTAACCCTCCTCCTGTGGCTCATTGTTTCATCTTATTTAGTGGCTTATTAACTAGTTTATAGCAATTTAGCGATATAAAGTGTCCCCGTTTAACCCAGAGTGCATGTATGTCTAGATAGCAGGAGTCAGAATCGATTTAATTTGACACATATGAGGATTTTTTTTTAAAGAAAGAAGCAAAAAGAGTACTTTTACAGTCAAATATAACATGACAAATCCTATATTCAACGTGGCGAGCTGTGCAGGTTCAACAAGAGGTATTTTTGGATTAGAAAACTTGTTCAAAAGCATTATGTGCATTATTAATATGAGGGTTAGGGTATGGGGTTTTTGACAGATTTTAATTCCTGTTTTTGTCCTTTTTCTAGGATGCTGCACGAGACACAAAGTCCCTGGATATGAATGAAGCTTTCTAACAAAGAGCCATAAAATCTACATGGGAGGGGGGCAGTGTGCACACAGATGCTTTTTACATCCTATAGGCTGGTTATGTTAGAGAACTCACATCATAGCGTCATTACTGGCTGCACTCGTTGAGCTGTAAAGTGGGAACGAGCATGCTGATAAGATAAGATGGACATGTATTAATCCCCATGGTGAAATGCAGATGTTTAAACAGTAGTTTCAAGCTTTCTAACAAAGCGCCATCAATGGGAGGGGCACAGTGTACACACAGATGCTTTTTGTATCCTATAGGCTAGTTATTCCAGAGAATTCACTTCATAGCATCATCACTGGAGCTGTAATGTGGGAAAGAGCATGCTGATAATTAGAGGCTCTCATTCCCAGGGTCTTTTCTCCCCATGTGACCCTAGTTTTTGAGCCCTAAACTTGCACCATGACTTCTTCGGATAACGATGAGGCCGGCAGCGATCTGTCCGAGTCTCTGGAGATCCGGGAGCTTCAGGATCAGTATTTGGAGCCGGAAACTAGCTTCAAAAAGTCTTGGAGCCTTCCCATCCTGAACGACACCTGTGTGGCCCTGGAGGAAAGTGCAGATTTCCATTTAAGGACCCCGGAGACCCCCTCTTCCAGGACGGACTTCTCCCCGTCTGCCTCCAGCATGTTGGGGTTAAGTAGCTCTGCACCGGGTAAAAAAAAGAACCTGGGATTCTCCCTCAGTCGCCTCATCTGCACCCCGGTTAGAAAATATGTTCGGGTCATTCTGAGGGATTCACGCTGCTTCCTGTTCTGCATGTGCTACCTGACCTTCATCCAATCACTGATGGTGTCCGGATACCTGAGCAGCGTCATCACCACCATCGAGAAAAGGTATGTTGGAGTCGTGTATATAAACTAAACACCTAAGCTCTGTTAAAGGTCTCCTATCATCCTCTTCTTCATCACTATATCACAGGTCTCAGATATATCCAGAGCCTGTCTCTGATTGGCTGAAACACCAGACAGATCATTGCAGCATTACCCATAATCCCCTCTGTTTCAGCCCTGTTTCCAAAGTGCTGATTCTCTGTCTGTTACTTTAGATGAAAATAAGGAGCCCCTCCCCACGCCCCTCTGAGAGAGGTTTGGTTACAAAGAACTCAATGGAGCTTTAGGAGGAGGTTCAGGTTATAAGGGGGGGGGGGGGGGGGGGGGGTTACCTTGGTTGCTGATTGGCTAATGGTTACACAAGACAACACATCGTTATGACATCATCAAGTGGCCAAAATCTGATCAGCTCGTTTTCAGACAGGTTTTTATAGAGACATGAGGAAGTGGATTTTGCATGATAGGAGATCTTTAACTTTCGTTTTAATTACTCAACTCAACAGGTACAGCCTCAGGAGCTCTGAATCCGGTCTCCTCGTCAGCTGCTTCGACATCGGCAGCCTCCTGGTGGTGGTCTTCATCTCTTATTTCGGGGGTCGAGGTCAGAGACCCCGCTGGCTCGCTGTGGGCGGCGTTATCATCGCGGTGGGGGCGGCTTTATTCTCCCTGCCGCACTTCATCTCTCCGCCCTATCAGATCCAGGAGATGAACTCTTCCATGGGGAGGGGAGGCCTGTGTCAGAGTGGGCTTAACGGCACCGGGAGAGAAATGGACGCGGGGTCGTGCCCCAGAGATCAAGAGGGAAACGAGCACAATCTGTACGTCACTCTGTTCATCGTGGCTCAGATCCTGGTGGGCATGGGGTCAACGCCCATCTACACCCTGGGACCCACGTACCTGGACGACAACGTGAAGAAGGAGAACGCTTCGCTCTACCTGGGTGAGTCCAGACTTTCTGTTTCCATGCTTTTCACTGAACTGAATGTCGTTTTCTGAACCTTCTATAGAAAATCAGGTTTGAACACGATGACAGAAATGCAAAAAAGGGACTGCCCTATGAAGGATTAATACACTTGCAAAACAAACCCTATCTCAGAGTGTATTCATTTGAGTAAACCCAAAATACTGGAGTCCCTTGTAAAGTGTTGCTCCACCGTACGAACCACAAATGCGCTTCAAAAGTGTAGAAATCCGTCAAGGCCGTGTCCATAGAAAAGTACTTCCTGTTTCTGCGTCGTGATTCAGAATCGCTCCAAAATGTCATTGATTCTTCGTTGTCCCGTACTTCACGCCTCCACTAAGTTTCATTTAAATCATACGAGTAGTTGTTCTGTAATCCTGCTGACAGTCAGACAAACAAACTAAAACATGGCTTTGTTAGCATCCTATCTGATTGCACTGGATGTTTGATGGATTCATTCGACTGGTTTGAACTGGTTTCTCGTGCTGATGTGTGTTAACCCTCGGAGTGAATGCACATCTGTGTGTCCTTTTTCACCTCTGCACCATGCGACCTCTATGCGACCTCTTTGCGACCTCTATGCGACCTCTGCACCATGCCACCTCTGCACCATGCGACCTCTATGCGACCTCTGCACCATGCGACCTCTGCACCATGCCACCTCTGCACCATGCGACCTCTATGCGACCTCTGCACCATGCCACCTCTGCACCATGCGACCTCTGCACCATGCCACCTCTGCACCATGCGACCTCTGCACCATGCGACCTCTATGCGACCTCTATGCGACCTCTGCACCATGCAACACAAATACAGGCTGCAGGAGCACATGAGAAGGAAAGAGAACTGGGTTGCTTGTGATTAATGGTCGTGTGTGTGTGTGTGTGTGTGTGTGTGTGTGTGTGTGTGTGTGTGTGTGTGTGTGTGTGTGTGTGTGTGTGTGTGTGTGTGGTGTGTGTGTGTGTGTGTGTGGTGTGTGTGTGTGTGTGTGTGTGTGTGTGTGTGTGTGTGTGTGTGTGTGTGTGTGTGTGTGTGTGTGTGTGTGTGTGTGTGTGTGTGTGTGTGTGTGTGTGTGTGTGTGTGTGTGTGTGTGTGTGTGTGTGTGTGTGTGTGTGTGTGTGTGTGTGTGTGTGTGTGTGTGTGTGTGTGTGTGTGTGTGTGTGTGTGTGTGTGTGTGTTCACACAGATGCTCACTGACCTGTTGCTGCAACCAACCATTATTTTCTTTATTTAAAGGATAACAAGTCAGAAAATCGTGGAGCGTTTTCTTCCCAGTTCCTCAAAGTCCACTGTAATGTCTTTACTTGATATGAGACAGAGAAAAGCAGCAGATCTCCACATCTGAGAGGCTCATTTTTGACATGTTTGCATAAAACATGTTCTATAATGTTTGCATGAAGGATTTATAAGACATTTACAGACTTTGAGAAACTAGGATATGTTTCCCTGTGTCTGACATGTTATGGACTAATCGATGACACTTAGACGGTTGCAAAGTAACAATAAATGTCAAGAAATAGTGAAAAGTCCTTAGCTTCTCAAATTCCACGGTATATCTGTAATATCTGTAAATGTCTTGTTTAGTCCCAGAGGTATTCCCTTTAATACAATACAAAGAGAGAAAGGCAGCCAATCTCTATGTGTGAGAGTCTGAGAACTGCGTTTTGTTGCATTTTACATGAAAGAACTTCTAATTGTGACGCTAAGATTAACATTCTGACATGTTATGGACTAATGGATGACTGAATGATAAGGATAAGGATTAGTGGCATGTTGGATGAAGGAACACTGAGACGGTTGCAACTAACGATAATGTCAAGAAATAATGAAAAAAGTCCATCTCAGCTTCTCAGAATCCACGGTGTATCTGTAAATGTCTTGTTTAGTCCAAATCCCAGAAATATTCACTTTAATACAATTTTTAAATAGAGAAAAGCAGAAAATCTCCATATTTGAGTCTGAAATTGCATTTTCTGAAATGTTTGCATCAAAAACCAAAACGTGGCGCAAAAACTGACATTTTCCACTTTTCCCTGACATGATGCTCGAATCGAATCGATCGCTCCACAATGAAAACAATAGCTGGCTGCATCCTTTGTTTGCACCATGTTGTCTAAAACAACCCTGAGGTGGTTGCACAGCAGTCTCACAGAGCTGCAGAGGGAGGCTGTGGCTCAGTGGGTAGTGTGCTGGACTTTGAATCAGGGGATAGCAAGTTCGAGTCCCACTGCAGTCAGCATGTCGTTGTGTCCCTGAGTCACTTCACCCCAAAGTGCTCCTGTGGGGATTGTCCACATGTATGTAAGTCGCTTTGGATAAAAGCGTCTAACAACAACACAACAACAACAACACCTGCGTCACAGGCACTCAATGCAGCAGAGATATTGATCCAGGCAGGGAAACAAGGAGAACACACCTCACCTCTGCAGGTATTCTGAACAAAAACACACACCTCAGACTCTAGACTAGGGGTATACTACGCACTAAGTATTCTGAACAAAAACACACACCTCAGACTCCTACAGATAACCTTCAAAGCCCTGGGGGGTATACCACGAAGCCGGATGTTCTCTTAGCGGCTAACTTCAGGTAACTCTGGGTTTCCGGTCCTACGAAGCTGGTTCTCTTTTAGCGGCTAGATCTCCATGGTAACTGATGCTGAGCGGCTAACCTGCTCCGGAGCAGGTTAGGTTGCAGGCTAAGAGATCAACTCAGTGAAAGCACCGCCTGCTGACCAATCAGAGCTCAGTGTGGAGTTTAAAGCGATCAAGTCATATTACAGGAGAAAGGAAATACAGAAAAGCTGCCGTCGCAGGAAAGACGGCCGGCAACAATCAGCGACTGTGTGAACGTGAACATGAATAGAATATCAGCTCCATCTTCAGAGCAATCTGACTATTATAACATTAGCGTTAAGAAAGCTTACTGAAATATCTGCCACAACATAAGTAACCGGATCAGAGTCACATTAAGTACAGTCCATATCACTTCATAATGTATCATCTCCTGATCTGAGTCAGCTGAGCCGTATCTGGCCGTGCAACACTCACAGCGTCACAGACTGGATGCAGAAGCATTATTTGAAGCAACACATTAAGTTGAGGAAACACTGGAGTCAAATGTAATGAAAGTCAGATGGTGTCTTAGACGGGCAGTGATATCATAAAGCTGTTAATGTACGCATTCAAACACTTGTTCTGTTCCCAGCTGTGTTCACCTTGCAGGTGCAGCTCTGTGGCTTTGATCCTGGATCAAGTGTTTAAGTCATGGATGTTTAAAGTTTAACTTCTTCATATGTCTAATATTATAGTTCACTTTTCATTCAGGAAGTATGACGCTGCGCTGTCAGTGCGCTTCTCCATGTCTGTGATTGGTCGAATGCTCCAGATACCACCCCTCTCATGTGAACACCTAGCTAGATAGGACACGGCTGGCTTGAGCGATCCACTTGATAACCCGCGTCGTAGGACCGCTTAGCGAGAGCGCGTATGTTTTGGATTAGGCCAACCGCCTAACTCAAACATATCCAGGTTAGGTTGAACCAGCTTCGTCGTACAGGCCTCTGGTGACCTTCATGGTGACCTTCAGAGGAGCCACTACCGGTATGTTCTGCATCTAATGGATAAAGAAAATCTGAATAGTGAGAAGTATCCAGCGTAGTTCCACCGTCATGTGTGTTTGCATAAAACATGTTCTGTAATGTTTGCATGAATGATTTATAAGACATTTACAGACTTTGAGAAACTAGGATGCACATTTATCACCATTGTATGGACTAATGGACTCAATGAGGAAATAATCATTAGTTGCTTCCCTGGCATGCGTACTGTTGGTGAAGGAACACCGGCTTCTCGAAAGCCAAGGTATGTCTGTAAATGTAATCTGCAACATTAGAGTAAATGTGGACGAAACGTTTTATATTTTCAGCCACATTTCAGTCGTTTTTATCCGGGGTAGTTTTAGTTTAAGGAACGTAAACACATCTCATCACTTTTACAGCTATTTATGTAGTGCATCGATGCTGCATGAATCGTGCACCATGTGCTGCATGCTTGTCATTTTAGTTGGAGTTAAATCAACCTTCAGATTCAACGCCTAATAGTCGGTCTGTTTCCGATCCACAAAATCATTGCATTTAATAGAAGTTGTATTCATGTCTCGATCGATCTAGACAAAGACCCTCTTTATTCCCACATACTGAGCATTGCAGTCCGTGTAGTCGTGCAGAATCTTTCATTGTGTCGTTTCAGCTCCTCGTTCACCTCACAGCCGTAACATTGAAACAGTCTTCTGACCTCTACCCCCCCCCCCCCACCCCCCCCCCCCCCCCCCTTTGGAGCGAATCATGAAATCCTCCCAGCCATGTTCATATTCCTGTTCTGCAGATGTAGGCGACCCATATCTCCAGGAGGATGTAAACCCCTTCTCAATTTACTCCGGCTCAGAGGGGAGGGTCTCCGCTTTACACTGAGGGCACGTCTGCTGCTCTCAAGTGTGTGTGTGTGTGTGTGTGTGTGGGTGTGTGTGGTGTGTGTGTGTGTGTGGTGTGTGTGTGTTGTGTGTGTGTGTGTGTGTGTGTGTGTGTGTGTGTGTGTGTGTGTGTGTGTGTGTGTGTGTGTGTGTGTGTGTGTGTGTGTGTGGTTGTGTGTGTGTGTGGGTGTGTGTGTGTGTGTGTGTGTGTGTGTGTGTGTGTGTGTGTGTGTGTGTGTGTGTGTGGTGTGTGTGTGTGTGTGTGTGTGTGTGTGTGTGTGTGTGTGTGTGTGTGTGTGTGTG